GTTCAGAACAGTGCCTCACACACAGGGGCACTCAAGAAAGATATGTTGACTGACTGCAGAAATTTGCCTCCCATGAAGATCGATGGTTCAGTGAATCTTGCACATATTTGAAATTTTACTGTTGTCATAAGGTCTTTGTACTCACCAGGGGACCTTTTTCACAAATATTTTCACAACTGTTATTTGTGGATTTTGACACCAGGGTATTGGAGGACCAACAGACACACACTTTTAGACACGCTATCACAGATCAGACGAAATGAAGTAAAGATCATTGATGTTTCCCACCTTGAGTATACATAATGCCAACTCTAAATACCACTAATTCATAATCATGTAGCATTTTGCTATTAACATCCTTTTTTGTTAATTCAAAAAAGTTTATATGGAAATCAGCTAATGAGTTCATATTTCTTCCATGTAAAATTTGAAAAAAATCATAAGAACAAAATTTTCTTCAGACATAAAGATTTATTTGAAGTTTTATTAAATATATATATTTTTAAAAGATTTAAAGAAAAGCAATAAAAACAACTTCATGGAAGAGGTAAATTTTTGAAATCATAGCTCTCATGAAGTCAGATAAACTCAATATTGTTTGTATTAAAGAGTTAGAAACTCAAATAAAAGTAATCCAAACCTTGCTTTTTCTCTTCCACAAAGAACATCAGTTCTGACTGTATAGTTTGGTGACACTTAAAAAAAAATTAAAAATCCATAAGATGGCATTCAAGATCATGTAAAACATATACTCTCAGAAAAACATGTCCTTGAATGTTCACAGCAGTTATATTCATAATTGCTCCAAACTGAAAACAACCCAACATCCATTCATTGGTGACTGGATAAATAGAGGCTTAACAATACAATGGAATACCACCTGGCAATACTGACACCACTGATATACAACATGCATGAATTACAAAAGCCCTATACTAAGTGGAAAAAGGTGGACACTTAATAGTCTATTTACATGAAATTTTATCAAAGGCAAAACTAGAGTGACAAAGCAGATCAGTGGCTGCCTGGGACAAGTGGTAAAGGAAGGGACTGATCACAAAGGAGCATATGAAATGGTTGAGGTGATGGAAATGTTCTAGAACATTACCATGGTAGTGTTATACAGCTGTATATGTTTGTCAAACTCACTGAATTGTATATTTACATTTCGTTGTATATAAATTACGTCTCAGTTTGAAAAAGCAGGGGGAATCTCTTGAAGCAGCAGTATGAACAATCCCATTAAGAAAAATTTACCCATTCAAAAAGCAGCAGCATGAGCAAGCAATCCAAATACAAAATGGCTACATCTTCCTTTCATGTTCTGTCAATCTCACTACGGACTATCCACTGAGCTATTTCTTGGAACACACTATAGACTTCATCTATGCTTTTCCAGATACTGTTCCTTCTACATGGAATACTTGTCACTGTGGAATATAGTCACTCAATAACCACTTTTGAATGATTTGAAAGACAATAGTCATGTGCCAGAATCTCCTCATCCAGTTGCCAGCAGGTCTCTGATTTAGCAATTTCTTCAGTTGGGGAGTCTATTGAGAATTTTTTTCTTTTGATGTAAAATTTGCATATGATGAAATACACAAATCTTAAATGTATACTCAGTGAATTTTCACAAATGCCTACACCTGTGTAACCCAAACCCCTATTAAGAGATAGAACATTACCATCACCCCAGAAAGATCCCTTTCTGATTGATTCCTACTTCTATTCTCCCAGAGGTAGCCATTGTTCTGATTTTTTAAAAGGTATTAGGGTTTTTACTTTTAGAATTTCCATTTAGTTCTTTAAAAATTACTTCCATTTCCCTGCTTAGATATCCTATCATTCCATTCATTATGAGCATGTTTTTCTTTACCTCACTGCACATAGTTATAACAAGCATTTTCAAGTTCTTATTCCAACATCTGGGTCTTTTTGGACTTGGCCTCTGTTGACTGTCTTTTTGTTTGAAAATGAATTACATTTTCCTGTTTCTTTTCACACTGAATAGTTTTGGATTGTAATCTAGAAATTATGAATGCTATATTGTAGAAACACTAGATTCTGCTACATTACTCTGAAGAGTGTTAACATTTTTGTTTTAGCAGGAAATTTAGTTGGCTGGACTCAAGCTATAAGCTCTGTTTCTTAGGCAGCAGCTTAAATCTCAGTTCAGTTCTTTTTTTCCTCCCTTGGTTTAGTCGTTTGCAATGTCTTGTATTTGCACAGTTTGGGGTCAGCCAGAGACATGAACGGAGTTTATACATAGAATTTAGGAGTCTGTTTCTGGCTCTCTCCTTCCTAGGATTTCCCCCCTCACTTTCCAGCAGTGAGGTGGGAACTCAAACTCCATCTTCTAGTTCTACAGGCCAGAAAGACTGCAGGTTATCATAGTTTTACTACCCCATGGGTCCTGCTAGGGTTGGAGTAGGGTGGGGCAAGCAAAGTGTGAGGGTACAAAATTTAAGGAGGCACTCACCATTAGGCTTATGCAAGTACAGAGTCAGTACCTGGGACTGAATGCTACCTTAAGAGGGAGGCATGCAGGATGCTTTGCTTGCCTCACCCTAGTCCCAGGGAGGGTTCTGCCATCAACCTAAGTGTAACAAACTGGAAACTTATCCAATGTTAGGTCCTTCTTCCAAGTTGTGACTAATCTCCAGAATCTGCCGGCTTTTATTTACTCTCCAGAGGCTCCAGTTTGTTGCTTTTTTGTATTTTGTCCAAGGTTTATAATCAGTTTCTGTAGGATGGTTAGTCTGTCAGGAGCTCATTCAGCCATACTGTAAGTGGAAGTTACAGAAGCACAAAAGTTTCGAGTACAACGAGATCTTAGGAATCCTATATTCAATTGTCTCATGTTATAAATTGGAGACTGACACCAAAATAGAGTTTGTCATAGGGTCAGTTATAGGAAAGGACAGTAATCTAAACTTAAAATCTAGTGGTCATCCACTATAGCACTCTGCAGCAATGCTGAATGGAAAGCGCAGCTTTTGTACAGAGTGTGAAATGTTGCACTCAGACTTCCCTTTCAAATGTAAATAAATTGAATACTAACTCCCAGTTATTAATTACTGCCTGCTTAACAGTTTGGTATAGATTGAATGTTTCTGTCCCATCAAATTCATATGTTGAAGTCCTCATCTCTGCTATGGCTGCATTTGTAGATGGGGGCTCTAAGGAAGTAATTAAGGGGTAATTAAGGAAGTAATTAATGGGGGTCATGTGAATTCACAGAAAGATGGCGCCACCTACAAGACAAGACAAGATAGTCCTGTCCTCAGAATGAAACCTACACATGATGTAAAGAATCATACCTTCCAAAACAGCACAAAAACAAGCACCAGGCAAAAGTAAGGCCAAACACATATCCCTTATTTGCAGACTAAGCTTCTGATCCACCATAGACCACCATGGACCTACTTATCTTTTCTTGGTTTTCACACCTCCTGGCCTCACAGCCTACCCTATCATTTGGTCTTCCATTTCACTTCCTTAGTTACCCACACAATGCTGTTTTTCCCATCTCTTCTCATGGTATCATGGGGCCTCACTACTTTTTTTACCTAAACATCCTGGGAAGGTCTTTCCATGGTGACCTGGCCCAGGATAATCTTGTCATATCTTAGGCTGACCCCATCCAGCCTAGCCTAGACTTGGAGTAGTAACCAATCATTATGAAATAAAATGTTAATGAAATTAGGAGGCATTAAGTACAGTTAGGAGTATATTATCTACCAGAATTTCAAGTCACATTTCTCATTTTACCCTATTCTTTTATCTCTTTTTTGTTGTTGTTCATTGCTGCTTGCTGTTATAGTCAAGGCAGTCTATTCTTAGGGACATTAGGTTCCAATATTTCATTTCTACATTCCAACTTTCTTTTATCCCTGCTCTTCATCTGGAAGCATTGAGAAAGACAACTTATCTAATAAGAATGAGGAGATAAGAGAGTTATTTCTTATTTGATCAGTGATGGTAATTTCTGATAATTCAGGATAAAAAATTACATGTAATTATAAATAGTTCAATTTTTATTGCTACATAAAATTGATTTGGTTTGGCTGATGTAGACAATCATTCCAAATAAGACTAGGTGCCAGTTTTGCCAATTCTTCCCTTACCTTTACACTGTCATACACAGTTGTAGTAAGGCCCCAAAGTATTTCTTTTCTTTTTCATTTTCTTAACAAATTACTGAACAAAAAGAAAAGCTATGTTTGGGGATCCTGATATCAAAAGTACTTTGGCAGGAGATTATCTGACTACTAGGTTGGATTTTTGGGGTTCTGGGTAATGTAAATTTTGGGATTGGAGTTTGAGCAAACCTTTCTTTAAAAAAAATTGTATCTGCTATAATTAATAACAAAAAAGGATAACAAATAAACAAAAGGAATATAAACTCCCATAAATATGAATCAAACAAAGGAGGAATTAGAGAAGTCTCTTTAAAAAAATTTAGTTTCCTAGTTTCAAGTACACTTTGATTTGAGATAATGTTCTTTAAGGATATATTTTAATAACTGGATAAAATACTTATAACTCAAGACTTTATAGTTAAATGAGTACCTCAAAAAGCACTTAAAAGTTCCTTCTTTTACCTTAAGTAATCTCTATTTAATTTTAATATTTTAATTTGCTTAGGAAGTCATACATGAACACACATATATATACATATCTAAGTATGTAAGTTGACAATCTAGAGATACACTTTTGATTGCCTCTTGTTATAATTTTTATAAACCCAAACTAGATGGAATTTAAATTGACTCCTTTCTATTAATTATAGAAGTAGCTGCAAGGAGTAATATCTACATTCATTTTTAAATATAGCCATACCTGATAAAAAGTAAATATAAAATGTTCCAACTCCTCTCAACTTTTTGTTTTTTCTAATATAGGCCTCGCTCCTTCACTTATCTCTGCATTTGATCAGGCTATTAACTCTGCCTAGAGTTACTATTAATAACTTTCTTTTCTTATCTGCCTTGTAGAATTCTGCTCATCAATCCAGCACCAGCTTAAATGAGAGTTCCTCTGTGCATCCTCCCCCAGAACCTTTGGCAGAGCTCATCTTCCCATCCCCTGTGGTACTTCTGTGGTTTGTACCAGTTTCTATCATAGCACTTAACACTCTTCCGTGGAAAACATGAGTTCCTTGAGGACAATGATCATATTTTTATCTATCTTTGTATCACGTTTTGGTACACAATATGCTTTGGTGCATAATAAATGTTGAACAATGGTTTATTGAGTATTTACATCCCAAGAAGTAAAATACCTTCAGATTTTTTAAAAGCAGTATTATTATCTGGTGAGATTTAAAAAAAAAAATGTGGCATATTCATTAGGAATGCTTTCAGGTTAAAGTGACAGATAACCTAACTAGGTGGGCAAACAAACAGGTGTTTATTTTTAAGGAGCATGGAGGTTGCTAGACAATAATAACACCAAGGTCTTTGGTTCCTTCCATCTTTCTACTCTAGTATCCTTTGTGTATAGGTGGTTCATCCTTACACTTTACATCTTGTGGTTGCAAGAAAGCCCCCAAAGCTATAGGTAACATATCCATCTTAAAGGCAGGAAGAAAGGCAGAAAGGAAAAAGAGGTGGTTCCAGCTCCATCGGTATAGGTCTAATTAATTGTCCAAGATTCTTGCTCATAATTGAGCCAAAATTTGTCTTACTGTAATTTCTGTGTGATCACCTGAGACTTAACTACTGATAATAGATATAATAATTATGTCTTGAAGCAGTGTACGTGTTTCTGGCAGCAAGGTGCCTCCTAAGCAACACACAAGAAATAGAATGGCATGTAACTCTTTATAGGTGGAGACAATGAACATTTTATTTGGTTGTCAGACATTTGTGTGAACATGCAAAATCCTGTATTTAAAATTCAATAAATCAAATCTACTTTAAGAGTATAATTTATAAACCCTAGGAATCTTAACCTTCATTTCTATTTTTTCCCCATTCTTCTATTATTCTCTACTTTATTACCTACCCATTTTGTACTGGTTGATGTGGGATCATTTGCGATCCCATATTGCTCATTGACAATTAAATATGAAATTTTAATTTAAAATATTCTTAATTATTCATAAAACTCAAATGCTTATAGATAAATTTATAGAACTACCAGAACTGATATTTAAAAGGTATCATGTTTTCTAAGCATGTTGGGTAAGGTCTGAAATTAACTGTAAAGAGAATTTCAGAGAATCAGAAGAGGAACCCCTTTAATTTATGATATTTTCTACTTGAGAAGTATAATTTAGTAACCTTAACTGTGATTATATATTAACAATAAAAGTGAGACTATAATGTTGATTTTATTTGATGGGTAAATGTATTTTTAAAATTTTTCAGTACAATTAAAGCAAAGAAATAAAAATGCTAGGTATAGAAACACAATATGCATATGCTTAGAAAATTTAAAATATCCAAAGACCCATTTTCCTTATTGGAGGTATTTCAATGTAACCACAAAAGAAAAGAAATAAACGAATATTGTAAGGTTCCATTTGTTCAATGATAATTTGTCAATACATTTTGGTAAATAACATAGACTGAGTTAAAATTTGTCTTTGTATTGGATAAAGTAGAAAATTAACCATCAAAGTATCATATACTCATGGATACGTTTTTATTTTATATATTTATATATTTTCTTTTAAATAAAAAATAACTGTATATACATTTGCCAATCTTTATTAGGCCAAAATCTTTTCTTTGTTGGTTAGACCTCTGATTAAGGTTCTGTATTGTTCTTCTTATTCTAGGATTCTTGTATTGCTCAGAAACTGTACTAAAAATGCATTGGCTATCATTTCTAGTTTTGGTTTATTTAAAGTGGACTGAGAATTAAGAACAGTTATGAAATAATACAAATGCAGAATCCTTTGACTTCTATAATTTTCCCCAAATCTTTCACAGATGATTCCCTCATATCTAAGCAATAGCATTATTAATTCACCATTATCAGATCTCTCTAGTGCATTTTGACTTAGGTTTTATAAAAATAACCTTTTCTTTGCACATTCATATTTCATCAACTTAGAAATTATGTAACTAATTTACAATAACAAACATAACTGGCATTAATATTTTTAAAAACAAACATAATATGCATTTTAACTGGTAGCAGCTTAAGTTCATGGTAGCACTAGGGAGAGACCTCTTAGGAGCAGACATCACCCATAGGCATCTCTGTATGCTTTACAGAGAGAATGGATGAGTTGCTAATCTGGCAACTGGGTTAAAAATAGAGATTAGTTAAGACAGCTTCCACTTTTTGGAGAAAATGGTTCTAACAAAAATACAGTACTAATGACTATGGAGCCTTTTGTAATTTACTGAGAAAATTAGGAAAAAAATTACTATCAGGACAATTACTTAATTATTGAAAAGCATAGGCTTTAAAAACATTCATTTTTTTCTTGGTTCCCACAATACTACATTTGCTGAATTTTCCTTCCAAGTCTAGTTTTTTCTTTCTCCATAGACATCTAAATGTTCCCAGTGTTGCCTTGTATCCTCTTCTTTTCCCTACTTATACTTTCCCTACTTATACCAGGTGAACTCACCACCTTGATAGCTTTAAAAACCATGTATTCGCTGAGGACTCTTAAATTTACTTCCCCAGCCCAGCCCTTTCTTCTGACTTCAGACTGGTAATAAGCAACTCCCCACTAACATCTTCACTTACATGTTTCATAGACAATTTATACTTAATTTTTCAAAAATGAAGTTGTAATTGATTTCTCAAAGGCTGATCCTCTCTGCAATTTTCCCATCTCATTGAGTGGATCTATTCCGGTCTCCTGTCATTTCTTTGAGTAGGCAGCTCTTCCCTGCTGTCTGGAATGCTCTCTCCTTAACTCATTAGGTGGTTGGCTCCCACTCGACTTAAATCTTACTATGCTGACAGACTTTCCTAGTCCTCTTTTCCTATCAGAGCAACATGTTCACATCAGCCATGTACGCTCTGAGTTTGAAATTACGTTATTTATTGGTTTTTCCTGTTTATTATTTGTTTTTCTCAACTAAACCATAAGCCCCATGAGGATAAGGATTATGTCTGTTTCATCCATTCCTGTATATTATGAGCCTAGCAAAATGCCTGACATATAGTAGGACCTCAAAAATGTTTGTTGAATAAATAAATAGTACTTTATTATAAGTAAGAATGTTCTTGAGAACATTAACCACGATTTGTAATTACATAATTAATTAAACTTTTAAAAAATGTCCAGTTACTCCCTACAAAATGGATGTTCCAGGAAGACTATGCCTAATTTAATCCCCACTCAACACTAAGTGTCTGACACATAGGTGGTCAATCAGTATCTTCCGCAGAAAACAAAGGGAGGGAAGGAAGGAGTAGGAGTAATGATGTGACTGATGTAGAGAAGAGACCCTAAAGGAGAATGCTTTACAAAATACTCTGAGACTATGGCCACAATTCAAATACAAGCTAAAAACAGTCAATCAAGCATTTTGTTTTGCCCACATAATGTAAACATTTGTACCTTTAGAAACAACTAGATCATTCAGTATTTCACTTGTAAGACAGATGTTTGAGGTTATTTCAGATTCAGCTGAAACTATCATTTTATTTTTTTAGTATTAGTGCAGGCAATTTGGATAGACCTATGTTTCTTTCAGATAGATAATTCTGAAATGAGAGCTGTGCTATTTAGTCAAAGTCAGACTGTTGAGAAGCCTTGACCATGTGATGTGCATTTAGTGAAATGACCTGGAATTGATCCAATTTCTTAACAGTAACATTATGGTATAATGATTGCCTACAACCTTTGGTCATCATCAAAATCTGAATGGGCTACAGAGAAAATTTCGCAACTAGTCTTTTCTATACAAAGGGCTGAACCAAGAGGAAAGCCTGAAATCTGTCTTATCACTTGACACATAAGAGAATTGGACAGCTGTTTGCTTTCTAGAGCATGAATGCCCATAAAAATGAGATTAAATAGTAGATTGTAACAGTATATGAAAGATTCTTTGAACAGACAATAGATCTAAAATATTTGTTTAGTAGAGTATCAAATTAAAGAGTCACAGTTTCTACTACTAAGAATTCCAAGATTACATCACACATAGAAATAAATTTATGTACACAAAAAAGTGTATTTTAAAAAAACAAACTTAAGAGTAAATCTTCAAATATTTACCTCCCAAGAAATTTCCTTCTAGAAATATTCTTAATTATATTCAGCTTTTTAACTCATCTGTAGTATAATAACACTATGTACTTGTTTTTCATTAATAAAAGGTTTGATTAAAATCTTTACATAAATAGTGCCTCTATGTAGCTGACTCATATTTTATTATTTGTGGTAGGTATGCAGAGAGGGAATACATTGGTTTTCTGCAGGAAATACTATAGAGATTTGAAATCTAGGTCACATAACAGCATTGCTACATCAGAAGAGCACAAAGGCCCAAAGTTTTTTTGTCTTCCACTAGGAAAATAATGTTGAAACAAAACTTAAAAATTGCCTGCTTTATAATTACTTTTGGTTAACTTACATGAAAATTAACTATAATCATAATTATCCTTTTTGACCTCTTCACAGTCTTAACATGGTACTATTATATACAAGGAAGTTTATATTCAGTGTGTATTCAGGGTAACCACTAGACAGAGAGCCAGATAATAAAATTTGTGCTTCTGTGAAATCTTTAATCTGGAGATCTTAAAACTGTTTTAAATACCAATTAAGTTTCTGGAGCATCATTAGGCAGCAGAGTTAAGACAAGGAAACTTGGTATGTCACATGGTAAGTCAGCAACTAAACAGAAAGAGAGCTGCCTGGCATATTCCAATAGATTTGCTTCCTGACTTCATTGTTTTCTAAATGTGATTTTATGGAAAACATATATCTGTGGCTGTGATTTAAGCACTAATGGTCTTTAGAAATAACACAAACACTAACCATATATTTTGACAATAAAATATTTACTCTATATTTCCAAATGCAAACATGTTCCATAGCAATGTTTTGAATGCATTTATCAAGTCTTTGGGATGTGGCAGTATCTCCTTTGAACATTAAAAAAATTATATATGTTTATGTTTCATTAAGCTTTTTAGTCCTTGAGACATAAGTAGCTCAGATATTTCAGTTGAATAGAACAATCAAACAAGGCATATTCTTTAGAGTTTGTCTTTACACCTGTAACGGGTTACCAAGACCTTTACACTTATAATGGGTTACCAAGACCTAAAACCAAATTAAAACTTTTGTCAATAATTTGGAAAAGAATTGAAAGAAAAGTCTTACTCTGTTTCTGTCATTTCCCACCATGGTTAAACCTAGCACATAAATCATGTCTGATTAGTCAAATTTATTCAGCTTTGAATCCTGAATTGTAAATTTAAAAAAATTTATAGATGCTGGAGGATATCTTTATATCATATTTGAGGATATTCTTTTTTTTTTTTTTTTGAGACAGAGTCTCACTTTGTTGCCCAGGCTAGAGTGAGTGCCGTGGCATCAGCCTAGCTCACAGCAACCTCAAACTCCTGGACTCAAGCGATCCTCCTGCCTCAGCCTCCCAAGTAGCTGGGACTACAGGCATGTGCCACCATGCCCAGGCAATTTTTTTTTTTCCTATATATTAGTTGGCCAATTAATTGCTTTCTATTTTTAGTAGAGACGGGGTCTCGCTCTTGCTTAGGCTGGTTTCGAACTCCTGACCTCGAGCAATCCGCCCGCCTCGGCCTCCCAGAGAGCTAGGATTACAGGCGTGAGCCACCGCGCCCGGCCTGAGGATATTCTTTATATCATAACGAATGTTGCTATTATTCAGATCTGCTTTTCTTCGCAATTGCCTTAAACTCTAAGCTTCAGATTCACTACTGGCAGAACTCTGCTGAGGAATTATTTATTTATTTATTTTTATTTATTTTATTTTTTATAGAGTCAGGGTCTCGATCTTGCTCAGGCTGGTCTCGAACTCCTGACCTTAAGCTATTCTACCTCCTCAGCCTCCCAGAGTGCTAGGATTACAGGCATGAGCCACCATGCCCAGTCCAAGGAATTATTTTAAAATGTGATTGGGTTAGAGATTAAAATATGCCAGTAAACAGCATATGTCACAATAATTGTGCCATTGCATTTCATTAAAGAGAAAACAAACAATGGTTTCTACTCTGAAGAACAAAGAAAGAATAAAAACAATGGTGTAGTTGAAAACTCAGAAAACACATTAACAAAATGAACAAAATCTGCACTTCTATTTAGAAAGCAGTACATTTAGCCACTGCTTTTTTGTTTTGAAACAGGGTCTTGCTCTGTTGCCCCAGCTAGAGTGCAGTGGCATCATCATAGTTCACTGCAACCTTGAATTCCTGGGCTCAATTGATCCTTCTACCTCAGCCTCCTAAGTAACTGGGGCTATACGGTTCACGCCACCTCACCTAGCTAATTTTTCTAATTTTTGCAGAGATGAGTTCTTGCTCTTGCTCAGGCTGGTCTTGAACTTCTGACCTCAAACTATCCTGCCTTGGCCTCCTAAAGTGCTAGGAGCCATCATGCCCAGCAATTAGTCTCTCCTTAAAAGAAAACTTCAAGATGAGTTGAGGCAAGATGTTACACAAATGCAGTCTTCCTCTTAGTCAACTCTGAACAAATGAAAACATGAGAAGAACTATAAAACTGAATTAGATCATACAAGCTTTTTGTTCTTCAAATCTATAGAAAGCCATTCTCATATATGGATATATTTTTCTTATCTTTGGATTATAAAAAAGAGCTAGATGGTTTAAAACTAATTAAATATTTTGCATTTATATTTTTAAAAAGAGTCAATGTGTTTCCTAAGGAAGTCTTTGGAGGTTGATTTACTGCAAGATACTTAGAAAAACCTACAGTGGTCTGTTTCCTTAAGTTAATGTCAATTCACCATCTATTGAAGCAATAAAACAAAAACATTTTACTGTTTATAAAAACCCTCAAACCCAAAACGTATCAATACACTTCACAAAACCTTATCAGCACATTATTAATGAAGAAAGATCTACCTTTGGATTAACACCTTACATTATAGTATTAGGATAGGGCCAAGATATTTTCAATAAAGCATGAAGTTAACAAAGAACTTGGTCTCAAAGAAAGGATTTTATAGGTACTTCAATTATTTTTTTCTGAGTCCCAAATCAGAAGAGTAATTGCGAGGGTGCCAACAAACTTGAAATCAAGGTTGGCTCTGGGAAATATGGGAACTATGATTGTCATACTCAAAGGGCTCATTGTGTTCAATGGGGAGAAGAACCTAGGGCTTATTTTTGTTTTTAATCATGAAGCTAACAGAGAAGTGTTCTATCTTTTATGGCCATGTTTTGTCTTGATGCTATTTGATAATTATTTTATCCAAAAGGCTAACAAGATCATTTTTCTTAATATCCCTTTTATGTAAAAATACTTAAAATAAATGTTAAACCTCTTATGAAATAAAAGAAGAAATTGTTTTTCCTTGGAATATCTATTAGTTCACAGTTACCCTGGACTGAGAAACATTTCTGTCATCATAGTTTGCAATAGTGCACACAGTTGTGATGTGGTACCCTAAAGGACATATTACTATTAATGGCCCATCCAGCCATTTGATTATCATTGTATGGTTAGTGGCTTTTTAGGATAATAACTCTGATACAGACAATCAAATGCTTTAATGAGTTTATTATCTTGTTTTCTTTTAGAACAAATCCAGGCCATATTTTAATTTAATGTGAGGGCACAGTACAATGAAACTTTAAGGCCATTATAGGTAAGTATAATGATCAACTGGGTTCCTCAGTTTCTCATGTAAGGTCAGTTCCCAGAAGTAAAGTTCCCAGAAGTAAAGCTGGCTCCCAACTAGATTATATTTGTAAACAGTATTTGCAAATCAAGAAAAACGACAAAACTATACAACATCAAGAGAATGACAGATAAAATAACAAAAGAGATGAGAAGACCTCCAAATGAGTTCCAGTTAAGGGGAAAAAATAGAACAAATAAGACTGGAAAGGTAGAAAGAGGATGGAGTCAACTCTGTTTTGGATACTAGATATCAGAACAAACTTATAAAAAATTAGTTGTTCCCTCCATTTTGCAGGTAAGGAAAGTGAGGTAAAGAGAAGTTAAGAAACTGGCCAAGATCATGTTGCTCATGAGAGGCAGAGGCAGGATTTGAACACAGGTAATCTTGTCCTTGAGCCCAGGCTGTTAGCCACTATATGCTTCTCCCATTACACAAACCAAACCAACCAACTACCACCACCAACAAACCCGCCCCCCCCTAAAATTGTTAGACAGTTTTAAAAAGCAGGAAAAAAAAAGGACTAAAAGTAATTAGTCCAAAATGTAAATAATGATTGCCTTTCAGTGGGGGTGGATTATGAGCAATTTTTCCTGCATATTTATTCTTTTCAGAGCTTTTCAAAATAAAAGCAAAGTTTAACACTTTTTTTTTTAATGTCAGCAAAAAATAAAATGAATATTGCTGGCCTAACATTTTACCTCTTACCTTAGCACATGTCAATTTAGAAAAACTATGCATACATTTAAATGACATTGTTGACAGCTATCAGGGCACATTTCACCAGAAAGTCACAGAAATCTGGGCATAGGCAGGAGTTTGCTCGAATAAATAAACTTCTAAAATATGGTACAGGATCAGTATAGATTCAGTTGAATTTCCTACACTTTTTTCCCTTAATTTATTTTATGTATTTAAGGTATACAACATGATGTTTTGATATGTATAGACATGATGAAATGATTACTATAAGTAAGCAAATTAACATGGCCATCACCTTCCATAGTTACTTCTTTGTGTGTGTGTGTGTGTGTGTGTGTGAGGTAAGAGCAGCAAATTTCCAATATATAATGCCCTATGCCTTTTTCCTTAATCCTATCGCTTTTAAAACTACAGAGTTATATAATTGATAATTATAAAATGACTAAGAGGTCAGAGGTATTGAAATACTTGAGGAATCATAGAAGAAAGATTAAACTGACATTCGAAACAGTGTTAGAGTAAGATGTATTTCTGCCCTCACCAATTCACTGAACCTTCTCTCTTTTTTTAAATTTTTTAAAAAAAATTTTGTTATTTTGAGACAGGGTCTAGCATTGTCACCTGGGTTAGCTAGCCTGCAGTGGCGACATCGTAGCTCACTGCAACCTCAAACTTCTGGGCTCAACTGATTTTCTGGGCTCAGCCTCCCAAGTAGCTGGGACTACAGGTGTGTGCAACCACGCCTGGCTACTTTTTCTATTTTTTATAGAGACAGGGTCTCGCTCTTGCTCAGGCTGGTCTCGAACTCCTGCCCTCAAGCGATCCTCTCACCTTCTTCTCCCAAAATGCTAGGGTTACAGAGGTGAGCCACTGCACATGGCCTGAACCTTCTCTTTTAAAGGTCACAAATACTTACACTCTCAGTCAATCCTTTTCTCACTTGTTGATCCCCTGTTATCAGCATTTAGCTCCGCTGACCACTCCCTCCTTGAAATTCCCTTCTCCCCGGGCTTCCTCCTGCCCCTAATAACCTGTTCTTGACATACTCCTATCATGCTGACTACTGCTATCTGGCCTGTCTTCCTCCTCTGAGCTGTCTCAAAGGACTTCTCCTTCTGCTATGTAATTTCTCTTCAATGTTAGGGCTTCAACCAGCAAAACTGCATGAATAACCCCCCAAATAACATCTCCAAATCCTGACCTCTCTCCCAATTTCCCTCTAGATGTCAATCAGCATCTCAATATGTTTAATATGGAACTTATATTCCTTATCTCCCAGATCTGTCTTTCCTGCTGAGTTCCTTGATTCTACCAATACCCAGTAATCCAGGTTCAAAAATCCAGTGTCATTTTTACTCCTCTTTCTTGTTTTTCTTGGCAATTGTTTATTCCTATACAATCTACCTCTGCAATGTTATTCATTTAGTTATTCAATAAATACCTGACTGCTGTAGTAGGCTCTGAGGCTATAGTGGTGAATAAGACAAGTGAGGATCTTACCTTTCTGGAGCTTACATTCTAGTGAAGACAATCAGATGGCAAATAAGTCTAATTAGAAAAAAGATAAGAGTAGAAGATCACGAATGAATGGTACTGATGATGGAGCTGATCAGGAAAAGCCTCTCTCTGTATAGTTTTAAGACTAAGTTTGTGGTAATTTATTACAGTAACAATAGGAAACTAATATACTCTCTGGCCTTTCAACTCCAGAGCTACTTTATAACTCTTCTGGGGGCTTACCATGTTCAGCTTGTATCATATTCATATACAAGTTTTAATTCTCTTTGTAAATGGCTAGCTCCTAGAGGACAGAGTGTATATCTGATTCATCTTTGTACCTGCCAAAAATACTAATCATAGTGCCTTGTATATAGCAAGAAATCAATAAATATTAATGAATGACATTTTTGAAAATTTGTATATAGGGCATATTAAGCAAATAATCAGAATACCCAAATAACCTGAGTAGTCTATTCCTCAAATATTCTGAAAAAGTGAGCTTATGTTTAAAATGAATATCTTAAAAATATTTCTAAAATTAAAAATAATAACATTTTTAGGCAATACACAGTCACTGAGCATTTGTCAATTCAATTTTAATGAAAGTTTCAAATAAATAGGCATATAATTTCCTAATTTATAAATAATGACATTATGACTTGAAATACTTTTATTTCCATTAGTTTAGGTTAAAATAATACCATGATTCTGAAATGGATAGTAAAAGCAATAGGACATATGTTTTTGCTAATTTTCTACTTTTAGGTTATGTAAATGAAGCCAAAATTTGGGGGCATTTTGTCATAAGTACTATCGAAAAGGCAATTAGAAATGAATTACAGAGAGTATTTCTATAGAATTCACAAATTGCTAGTAATGAAGTACAATGTGCCAGGCATTCATTCAAACAGAAATGAATAATGCTAAAATTGTGTTTCCACTAGGGGTCTACAAAGAAGGAAGATAAAAATAAATTTAAAAAAAAGATAAAGGCATTTCATTTTCAATTATTGTCAAGTTATGAAAGGTTTGTATTTTTATGTGATGTAAAGATAGAGACTAGAGACATAACAAATGAGTCCATTATGTCAGTACCACTTGGAATCAGACAATTAAGCTTTTGGCATTTACTAACTCTGAATGTGTCTCATACAAAACTAAACACAACTCTGCAGACAGAGAAGAAATAAAGAGAATTATGAAATAATCATAATTCATATTAGGTTTTTAAAGTTTCTTTCATTTACAAAAAGCAATTCACTCATCTCTGTATTTTCATAGTTCCTTCATTTGCTTCCCTGTATACAAATCAATATCATGCTTGCCTTTAATTCCCAAAAGTCTAAGAAGGCAATAGACCACAGTAGGGAGGGGTAACTTTCTTTCTTATTTATGGGTGAGATAACTTAATGAAGAATTCGTTCATCAGTCACTGAGCATCAACTCTGTGTCAAGCACCATGATAGGTCCTGGGGACATTAAGCTGAATGAGACACACAATGAGGAGGCAGAGCTGTTTCTCTTGGGAAGATTCATGACGGCATTTCTAACATAACAGCAGCTGTCTACTCTGGAGGCTGCTGTCTTAATTAAACTAGTAAAGGAGGACCCTTCCAATTCCCCCAGAGATCCTTTGATTAGATAGAAAAGAATCAGGAGTGTGAGGAGCATGTTTATAGCTCATGAGGAGTCTGAAGATTCACTAAAAAGCTCTAAGAATGTAATTTGTATCTCTTATTTCAGTATGAGGAAATTTTTTCTAGGAAAAATTCTAGTCTTGTTATTAAAAAGGTCATTTTCCCACTTGGAAGACAGAAACAAATGGCAGTAGAGTTGACCCTTGAACAACATGGGTTTGAATTGCATGGATCTACTTCTAAATGTTGTTTTTTCAATAAAAGTTACACCATAGCCAGGTGTGGTGGCTCACACCTGGAATTCTAGCACTCTGGAAGGCTGAGGTGGGAAGATGGCTCATGGCAAGGAATTAGAGACCAACTTGGGCAACAGTTGAGACCTGTCTCTGCAAAAAATAGAAAAATTAGCTGGGCTTGGGGGGCACGTGCCTGTAGTCCCAGCTACTCCAGAGGGTGAGGCAAGAGGATCTCTTGAGCCTAGGAGTTTGAGGTTGCAGTGAGTTATGATGATGCTACTGCACACTAGCCCAGGATGGGGGTGTGGTGTGGTGACAGAGCAAGACCTTATCTCAAAAGAAAAAGACAGTGACTAATTATGTACTGCTTTCCAAATAGAAGTGCAGATTTTGTTCATGTGTTTTCTGAGTTTTTAACTACACTCTCTTTTTTATTCTTTGATGTAGAAACCATTGTTTGTTGCACTCTAGCTGGGTCTCTTTTTATTGGACCCTGTCTCAAGAAAAAAAAAAAGTTACACAGAGTGTGCTCACCTCTCCTGCCTCCCCTTCTACCTTCTCCACCTCTTCTGCCTCTGGCATTGGAGACAGCAAGACCAACCCCTTCTCTTCTTCCTCCTTCTCCTCAGTCTACTCAATGTGAAGACAAGGAGGATGAAGACCTTTATCATGATCCATTTCCACCTAATGAATACATAGTAAATATATTTTCTCTTTGTTATGATTTTCTTAATAACATTTTCTTTTCTCTAGCTTACTTTATTATAAGAATACAGTATTATATAATACATACAGTATATAAAACATGTGGTAATCGAATGTTTATGTTATTGGTAAGGCTTCCCAGTCAATATTAGGCTATCAGTTTTTTGGGAGGCAAAAGTTATACATG